GAATCTGCACAGAAACCTGGCGAAGCTCTGCAGTGGGAAATGGTGGTACCAAGGATGATGCTGGCATTGACGGCACCAGTTGATCAGTTTGCAATGTAGACTTGGGTACTGTAGATAACATGGAAGCAGGATCCGCCTTCGGTACCAATTTCTTTGATGCAGAGTCCTTAGAATCCCTTGCACCACGATCATGCCTGGGCAATACCAAGTAATGCTGGGTACGGTGGGACTTAAAAGTACCTGAAATCTCTGTACCTGGAGAATTTGGAACCTCAGTGGTACCCGTTTTGGGATGTGAGGTCTCTGGAAACGCAGATCTCTGTGGTGATACAGGCTTCTTGGCACCGAGTTCTCTGTGACGGGATCTGGAGCTCCTCTTCCTGGAAGTCCTGGTGCTAACCCCCTCAAAGGTCTGGTGGGTGAGTGGGCTGCAGAGGTCGACAAGCGCTGTCCTCGCTGCAAGACCACTGTATGGGGGTGGGAAGGGAGGAGATCAGGGCCCAGGTGTGAGGCAGGCAGAAGGCAGTGCTCCATCATGAGAAGACTAAACTTAATCTTCCTGTTTTTTCTAATCCTACTCTTAAATCCTCAAAAAAATCTCACACTTAGCTGGGACACAAGTGTGTCCTAAGCAGCAGATAGAGAGAGTGAATCCCACCATCTGAGGCAACGTTTAAATCCAGGGCATTTAGCCATGAGGAGACAGACTCCTTCAAAGGCGGGAAAGGCCCCAATGGGGTGAGGGGGAACAAGAAGTCCCCCCCCAACAAAGTTACTAAAAACTACTCTAACTAGCCAAAGTTAAAAGCACTAACTACAACCAGAAACAAGAAACGCTAAACGAGGAGCTGTTCCCGAAGGGAAAACTAGCTACACAGTGGCCCCCTCAAGCTGCTGTCTCTCCGGCTGAGGTGTTGGCTGAGAAGGAGCTGAGGGTGGTTCCTCCGTCACTGCCCCATCCACCCTGAGTCCGAGGCCTGAGGATAGCGAGGGTGCAGGTGTGGACCAAAGGGCACTGCTGCCAAATGTCTCTGGTCAAAGGCGCCCGGGGGTGCACCCAATGTAGAGCACCCTTAGGGACGTTACTGGAAGAACAGTCGTTGCACGGTGTGAATACAGATACACGGGCAAAGCAGCCAAGGAAAGAGACTCGCATTGGAAACCAGGGGCTCTTGTGCCCAATCCCCCGTCCTTGGGCTTGGTATGCTGCCCAGTGAAGTTACCAGCCCTTCGGGGCAGGGACGGCACGTGCGCGTCCACCCAGCACCCAGCCGGCTCTGGGGTGGTGTATAAACCAACTCTTGCTGCCACGGATGCAGCTCAGTGAGCAGAATGAACCCATTGCTTCTGGGTTTGCCAAGCACTGGCGCCCACACGCAGGGCTGGCGCTGGGAAAGCCCTCTGAGCTCAGTGACTTGTTTCGTCATTTCTCATTGTGCTAGGTGCTCTAGAACACAGGATCCTGCGGCCAAGAGCCTCCAAACGGGGCGTGTGGAGAAAGGCCAGGCATCCAGCCAGGATCAGGTGGTTCCACTCGGTGGCCTCTGAGATGGCGCTGGCTTTGATTGTAAGCGCACACATGCCTGCTGCAGGGGGGCGGGCTCCTTGGAGCAGTTCCCCTTAGAAGGTGTTCCAGGCCAAGGGCGGCAGGTGATAGGCTGTGGGGACACCTGTGGGAGGAGACCAATAGGGCATCGCAGATGGGAAAGGAAGGAAGACCGCAGCAGAGCAGGAGATGGCGGCGGCGTGGCGCAGCATGGCACTGCATGGCATAGGAGCTTGAAAGGTGCTAGGCAGAACCTGGGGTTGGACTCCTGGCCCCAAGTGCCCGGGCAGCAGGAAGGCAAGCGTCCATGTCCCAGGTGTCTCAATGCCGCCCTGCCAACGCCACGTCTAGCAGCAGGAGCAGCGCAGACCCTGCCTGTGGGGGTGCTGCTCATGGGGGTGATGGGGCTTCTGGGACGTTGTTTAAAAATTAACACCCCTCACCCCCCAATTTCACACAGGCTGAGAGAGCAGGTGAGGGAGCGGCGGGCACTCCTGACTGGTGCGGGATTCACTGGTGCCACCACCAAGCCCACACACGCACAGGGGAGCGACCCCAGCACTCAAGCCGAGCTATGTGCCGATGAGGACCCTGGCTCTGGCAGCCTTGATAGGGGCAAGTTCCTCTGGCTCAGTGCCAGCGGGGCAGCAGAGGTAGGCACTGGTGTCGCCAGCCCTGGCTTGTCTAACACCGCACCCTGAGGCACCGCAGCAGCCAGCGCGGCTGGACACCGCTCCCCAGTCTGTACCCGGGGCTAACCCCCCCCTCTGTTAGCATCCATGGCCGGGAAGCACTGGGAGGGGGGAATGCATGTTATCAGGTCGGAGTACTCTGCTCCTCTGCGCTCGAGGACCGAGCCTCGGGCCAACTCCTGCGCTCCACTTGCTCCTGCCCGCCTCACTTGATGCAGACGGCTCTGAAAGCTCGGGAGGGAGGGAAAGCACGGCTCTGCCAGGCAAACACAAAAGCAGAACGTTACTCCCCGAGAGGCCAATACATGCAGGCGGAGAGCCGCAAGCCAGCACAGGACGCCCGATCCCAGGCTCAGAGCAGTATGCTCAGTGCAGCCAGCCTTCAGACAGGGTTTGCTGTCAGTTCTATGTAAAATGCTCTCCAGGCACAGCAAGGGGAGCCTAGGGTCACAGAGCCCCAGGGGCATGACAGCATAGGGGAGGGGTGATTGTTACCGAGCCAGCAGGAGCACCCTCCTTTCCCAGTTTCTCCTGGAGTGTTTCCCTTCTCACCAGCCCACCACAAAACTGACCCTGCTTCCAGATGCCAGGAGGGGCCGGACACTACGGAAGTGTGAGGACTGTTGGTTTGCTTGAAAGGGGAGTAAGAAAGACAGGGCCTACATTGTTCAGCCTGCAAAGGAGCCTGGGTGCCCCACTCATCCCCACTGATGCAGGCTGGGACTTGTAGTACTTTCAGGCCCCAGTTCTAGAGCAAAGACTAGCAAGTCATGAGTCTCCTGGCCCCACTTACGTCCACAGCAAGCTCTGGGCAATCGCCCACTATTGCTCTAGCACTGTGGATTGCTAGTGTGGGAAGGCCTCTGGCGTCCCCGCTCCTGGGGGGACTACACCTGCACCAAGCCCTGTCTGCACTCCCATTCCCAACACTGCAATCACTGGTCAAGTTGGGAGGGCTTCCCATGAACTGCCAGTGCAGCCACAGCCATAGCGAACCACTCAGGCAGCAAGCCGGCCACCCCGCACTCCTCCGAGGCCCAGGATGTGCACAAAGCAAAAGCAGGGAACGGATTCTTGGGGTATTACCTAAGCTTCACTCCCCCAGAACCCCAGTCTCTCACGCATCTGGCCTCGGGGATGTCGCAGGACTGTTCCCAGCCCGCACAGGACCTGGTTTCACTCTAGCCATGCAGCCGCAGGCCAGCGGGTTGCTTTGCCGACAGAGGCAGACAAAACAAGCAAAGCTGAAGAAACAGACATTACAACATGCCCATGGAGACACAAGCCTTTTATTTGTTCCCATGGGGTTCCCATGGAGGCTGCCAAAGCCGGAAAGCAGATGCACGGGGCGAAGCTACATGTGAAACGAAGGCAGTGCGCAGGAAGCAAAGCCAGTCGGGAATTCAACAATCTCTTCCGGGAGAACAGCATCTGGTACCATGAGCCGTGGAGTCCCATGGACAATGCCTGGCCCCTGAGAACACTGCAGCCCCAGCAGGACATGGCAAGCTTAGACACCCTGGGGCTTTGGGACATGCTTCAGGGCAGAGATTCCCATCCAAGCCCTGCACTTGGCTGCTAGCCACTGGGACCAGCCCAGAGCAGCAGGCCCACCTAGTGGAGCTGGCTGGGGAATTACAGCATACCGGCTGATCATGTCCTGAATGCCCTCGGCCAGCCAGCAGCCGCACCCCACCGGGGTTTCCTAGTGGTCTCCAGCCCGTGGCCAGGCAGCAGCCTGCCAGTGGCTCTAAACCCATCTGAAGTGTATGTAGCAGGGGAGACAAAGCCAGAGAAGTAAGTGCTGGCACAGCTAGGGCTTTGGCTAGGAGGGGTAGCTTTCCATGTCAGGGCACCATAGCTGGACTGGGCACCATAGGACCAAGATGTGGTCCAGAGAGGTTCTAGGTGGCCAGAATCACCCAAGCCAGGCAGGTCTGTGGAAGGGCCTTGTTAGTTTTGGGGTCAGTAAACCAGTCTGAGCACCTGTGTGGGCTATCGCTTGGGCTCCCCCCCTGGTTACATATCATGGCTCTGTCATCCACCCTACACCACTGGAAACACTGCAACTCCTAGTGCTTCTCAGCACTTAGCCTGGGAACAAAGAAGGCACTTGTATTACAGCCCGAGCGCCCCTCGGACATGGGAATGCTTGGGAGAGCAGCAATGGCTGGGGAACGGAGCTGGAACTCCCCCTGCCAGCTTCTCTAGACGCTGCAGTCTCGAGCTGACTTCCCATCACAGCATCCAGTTAAAACATGGCCTCTTTGCGTGGCTTAGGGTCCTGCTCTAGGATTTACCAGGCTGTGGGATTTGGACAATACAATAACTGCCACAGAAAGGCTCCATTTAGCTGGGTAGCTAGCCCACCACTGCAGCAGCCACCGATCCCTACGTCTTCAGGAGCAGCAGCTGACCAAGCTGTGTCCAGCCACCCGCTGCAGGGGCCAGAGGGCAGCCCACGCTCCCGGCTGGGAGCCGACTGAAGGTGGGGGAAGCTGCAGAGCTCAATGTGCAATGCACGGAGCATTGCAGCTGGACTCTGGAGTCTCAAGGCTCCGTACTGCACTTGGCCACCCCGAGCGTTGCTCAAGACACAGGAGGCAGCACCTCACAAGCAGCTACTGCTCCACGGCAAACCACTTTTATTAAGTTCAAGCAAAGCACAGGCTGGCGCAGGGCTTTCCTTCAGGGGCGCGGCCTGACACAGCAGCTCCACAGGTACTGAATGAAAGCTAGGAGGGGCACCCTGCCCAGCTTACCTCTCACTGGTGCCAGGACCCTCGGGCTGCCTTTCTGAGGGCTCTGACTCCCGCCTGCGGGGCCACCCGCCCTGTTACAGCTGAAGGTGAAGCTGGGTGAGGCTTTGATCTGGGGCGAGTTCTGCTGGCTGCCGCTGCTCCCACTGGTGCTGTGGTTGGAGCTCCTGGCCCGGGAGAGGGCATTCTCGGAGCTCACGGCGGGCAGCCCGCTGGAGGGGACAGGGAAAATGGCAGTGAGAGTTTGGCTCCCAGCTGTCTCCCTCACCCACACCTCTCGGCTGCGCAAGCTGGGCGCAGGACACGCTCCATCTGCTCTCCCACGACTGGCAGCATGAGAAGGGCCAAGCTGAAACGCCATTCTCTCCTGGCATCCCGATTTCAGGCCTCTTGTCCAAACGGCCTGTGCGTACGTCTCGGCAAACACCAGCTCCCCTTCCAGAGGACTTTAAAAAAGGGGTTTTCGGGAGGGACAGCAAGCACTGGCCCCTCTGAAGCCCCGAGCTTACTGCAGTGCAGAGCTCAAAGTACCCATGCAATTGGCGCTGTGCACATCTGGGGACTCCTGGCAGCTCCTCGGGGCAGCGGACTCATCTTCTTTCCTGTTTCTAAAACACTGTGCACATTTCTAGTGCTCTGAGCGGGGCAGGGCACCCCATGATCTCTCAGATCTGCCAGTGGGCGGGGCGGGTCGGGTCGCTTGACTGTCAGGAAGCCGCTCTCCCTCTGGAGCAGTGTGCTACGTCCCAGCCCAGGGTCTGACAGGGGTGGGCTCCGGAAGTGTCGTGCTGCTGGGATTGGGAAGGCAGCAAAGAAAGGTGCAGGGAATGAATGGTCTCACTCCCCCCGGAGCTTGGCTCGGATGCTGAGGGAAGGGCCCCACTCCTGACAAGGGCCCTGGGACCTTCAGGCCCTGGGAGCAAGCTGCTCGGGTCTGAAAGAGGGGCCCTCCAGTAGCACAGCCCCTCTGCACACTGCTTAGAGTCATCCCACCTCTCTCCGCCATGTCAGCACTAACTCCGAGGGGTACCCAGTCCTGCGCAGTCTCTAGCCTGCTGGCGGGGTCTGGCTGCAGGCAGAGGCTGCCCCATGGACACAACGCTGGAATTCGCACAAAGTCCCAGCCATGCGGCACTACTCCCTGCCTTTCACGGGCCCTGGGGAGCTGTGCTGATCACTCAGCAGAACTGCTAGCCCTATCCCAGGGTCCCCTCCCCGCTCTGCCTGGGGAGATGCGGGCAGGGCCTTACTTGGAGCCTTTCTTGCGGGAGAATGCAGCCATGCCCTTCAGGTTGCGCACGTGCTTCAGCATCCAGGCTCGCAGGTTGTTGAGGCTGCTGTGTTCAGACATGATGAGCCGGGACCAGGGGTTACATTCTGCCATGTCCAGCGCCGCGATGGCCAGCGCCCGCCCAACCTGCGGAGGCAAGAGGCACTCAGTGGGAAGAGCCCAGCTGGGCAACGGCACAACGGGAGAGTCATGGAGTCCCAATCCCCGGTCCCGGGGGCCCGCGTTCTGTGTGGGCAGCATGCAGACAGGGCAGACAACCCGGGGGGCTTCTGGCCCACAGTCACAGTCCTGCTGATCTACTCTCAGCCATCCCAAAGGGAGCCAAGAATGCGCCCAGCAGCAAGGACAGGCCGCTCCCCAACCCTTCCAGGTCAAGCACTCTGGCAGCTCCCTGGCATCCCCCACCCATTTACGGGGTTTGCACTGTCAGCACCGATCCCTTTTACAAATACTTTACAGCAAACGTCAGGAAATTGCAAAACTCTGACTCCAAATAAGGAACCAGCAAGGTGAAAGGTGCAGAAACACTGGCCTAGATGGGCCCCCAATGGCTGATTCCATAGGGCTGCTCCCAAGCCCGGGAGGAGTTTTACGGCTCACACCCTTGCTGCTCAGTGCTCAGCACCGAGCCTGCCGGGTTCCCCGCTCGTCCGGCTCCGCGAGGAACCACGAGTGACGGCGCCTGCCGGGTTCCCCGCTCGTCCGGCTCCGTGAGGAGCCGCGAGTGACGGCGCCTGCCGGGTTCCCCGCTCGTCCGGCTCTGCGAGGAACCGCGAGTGACGGAGCCTGCCGGGTTCCCTGCTCGTCCGGCTCCGCAAGGAACCGCGAGTGACGGCACCTGCCGGGTTCCCCGCTCGTCCGGCTCCGCAAGGAACCGCGATCGATGGCGCCTGCCGGGTTCCCCGCTCGTCCGGCTCCGCGAGGAGCTGCGAGTGACGGCGCCTGCCGGGTTCCCCGCTCGTCCGGCTCCGCGAGGAACCGCGAGTGACGGCGCCTGCCGGGTTCCCCGCTCGTCCGGCTCCGCGAGGAACCGCGAGTGACGGAGCCTGCCGGGTTCCCCGCTCATACAGCTCCACAAGGCATTGAGAGTGATTGCGCCTGCCAGTTTCCCCGCTCATATGGCTCTGCGAGGCACTGCGTGCGATCAAGCCCTTCAGGTTCCCCCTCGTACGGTTCCGCAAGGCACCGTGAGTGACCAAGTGTCACGGAGTATTGGGGAACTCAGGGCCCTGCACCCCCGGCTTCCTGCGATTCACCATGCCTCTCAGCCAGCC